GGGGGGTCCGCGAACCGCCCCCCGTGCGCGCGGACCCTCCCGCCCGCCCGCCCGCGCGGCACCGGCGCCGCCTCGGCGGCGTGCGAGGAAAGCGGCTCTCGCAGCGGCCGCGCGGGCTCGGCCTGCCCGGGGGCAGCTCGGGGGGCGCCACCGAGGCCCCTGCCCAGCCCCAGAGGCTGCTTGGGGAGGAGGTCGGGCCCCGGTCTCCCGTGCCGTGGCGTGCACCGGGCGCCTGCGACCTCGACGCCTTTTTGGGGTCTCCCCGTCGCAGCGGTCGGGGCGCCCTGTGGCCGCGCCGTGGGTTCCCGGGCCGCCGGTTCGGCGGCTCTTTGCAGCGATGGACGACAGCGCAGCGGCGCGACGTGGGCCGCCCTCCGCCCGGGCGTGCACTCCAAGCGCTGGCTGAGCAAGTATTTGCTGAATCGACTCTTCTTCAAAGCCAAGAAAAGCCCAGGGTCTGGTTTTGTTTCGGAGAGGGCGTCCGCGGCCTGCGTCAAGCTGAGTGTGGCTGTGCAGCGGAGCTGCCCCCGCGCTCCAGAGCACGGCACCCCTCAAGGAGAAGGGATATTGCGTGTAGGATATACCCTTGCGGGATGGGAGCTGGGAGTTTCCCTTCATTTTTGAGGCTCTGAAATAAACCTCCAGTGCTGCAGCTTGAGTGACTTTTGCTTTTCGAGCTGCAGCTAACGTCTGCTTCTCAAGAGCTTGGAGTTCTCAGCAGCCAGGAAAAATCACTGGGATAATCTATCTGAGCCAACGTTCCCTTGGAGGATAAAGAGCTGTGCTGCTTGGTGCATTTTTGGTCTGTTTTGGGGAAAGTGGTCGTAAGCCAGCCTYGTTCTTATGTCCTGAACCTCAAGGTCCTCTTTGGAATGGGTCCACCATCTCCTGAGCCTCTGAAGACTGGCACTGGAGGGTGGAGATGTCCTGGTCACCAGATGGCCTCCAGCATCTTTGTTGCTGTGGAACAGGAACGTCTGCTAAAGGCAGATAGGTGAATGTTTAGACCTTAATGAGCAGCCAGGTTTAGTTGTGTCTCTTGCCAATCGGCACGTGCATCCTCCCCATTCAACACAACCCTCTTAAGGCTCCAGGCAGGTGAGGGCCGTGTCTTACTCAGATCAGTGTATACCTCACTTTGTTCCTTTAACTAAAGGCTGGGCCGTGTTGACCCACCAGGATGGCAGATAGACCTTTCTGGAAAGGCTGTGGATCCCAAGAGGAAGGATGGGAATGAGGCAGGCGGGAGACTAGAGAGAAGAGCCTGGCCTTTGGGCCATGGGCAAGAACGGCAGGGCCAGTTTGGGCGTGAGTGATAAGGCACTTCAGACGGTCTCAAGATCCCGAGGCCTCTGCATAGGTATTTAGTGGAAGAACTTTACACTAATATTTTTCTTCCCTTCCTTGCAATTCATCTGCTATTTGAGCTGCAAAGATCAAAGCTGTCTTCTAGCAAGTACACGTGGGCCTAAGTAAATAGCCGGACCTACACCTCTCTTCGGTGAATAAACACTCTTTCCTCTCTGAACGTTTTCAAGCGTAGCCCTCGGTTCTGGAATGCAAAATATTTCACGTTAGCAGTGGGTGTTTTCCACTGCTTTGGAGATTTGGTAAGTGGGAACAAATGCTCATTTAGCAGCGGACGCTTTCAGGTACAAGCAGGCTCTTTGTGAGCGTCGCGGCCGCCCTGCGGCATTCACGGGCTCCCCCGGGACCGAGGACATGCCATTGTCCAGCCGCAGAGGGACGGGCCAGGGGGGCTCACACGAGTGCTCGTGGTGGGGCTCGAGGGCGGCCCTTGGGGGGCCAGCAAGATGCTTGAGACGTGCRGGACCCTTCGTGCGGGGGAAGGTTTGCGCTTGGGACAGGTCTCGTGCTGCGGGATTTCTGGCCCTTTCTGTGGCTGCCTGCAAGGAGAGGGTCTTTTCCTGGAGCCACGTCACAGCGCGGAGGATTGTGGGGCCCTTCCCAAATTCCCTGTGAGCTCCTGGCCATCCGGATACATTGCCCATCTCCTGCCTTTGAAGCACTTGGTTGGAGGGAGTGGCGGAGCACCCCGGGGTGGCCCCTTTAGGAGCTGTGTGCTCACTTCCTAATGCCAAAGACACTGTTTAAGAAAGCAAGCAGAGATCCTTTTAATGGTGTGATTTAATCTGGAACCTGCTGGGATGCTGGTTGAGTTGGTGAGGTCTCAGCTCTCTGTTCAGTTCTGTCCGCGCTTGCCTGTTGACGGGGCCATCAGATCCCAGCATCACTTACACTTGGTGCTGTGTGAGGGAGCAGGGTCCCAGCGTCACTCGGGTCTCACGGTGCCTCGTGTTGTGGTAGGAGCTGTTGCGTTTTCTGCCCAGTTCCCACCAGACTCTTCCCCATACCTGGAGATTATCCCGTATTCCTTGTCAGCTCCACTCGGTTTAGTGTGCGATAGCGGCACCGGAACGAATCTGTGCTGCCCCGGTGGGGGAAGGTCTCCATGTCAGGTTGTCCCTGCCTTCTGGGGAAAGTGTTGGCAGCCCCAGCTGTTGGTGGGCACTTACCTTTATCTCCTTTTAATCCATATGCTCCTCTCTGAGGAGCTGGGGAAGATCCTCAAGCCAAACACAAGTGGTCTTTGTTTCGAAGCATCAATTTGTGTTGGCAGCCAGGCCTGCAGCGCATGTGCTTTTCATTGACTGCTGCTCCAGCTCCGGCCCTGACTCTGTGTGCCAGCTTTTTTTTTTTTTTTTTTTTTTTTTTTTTTTTAATTTAACGCAAAAATGTTTTTCCTGAGCTTAAAAGGCCGGAGCTGTACAGTATTCCTAGTCTTAAACTAAGCCTAGCCTTTTTGCAGGGCAGTATTTTTGTCTGCACACAGAGTGTAGCGCTCTCCTTCCCTCGGAGGGGTAACTGATCCACGCTGTCCCAGCAAGGAAAAGGGTTGAAGGAGACTCTGGAGCAACTCACAAGCATCTGAAAGGCTGGTCTGCGCGTCCGCAATGCGGAGTGCTGGCCGGGCCGGGCCTTGCCGAGCCTGCTCCTCTTGGAGCACGTCGGGAATGTTGGAGGGTTGGAGTGTGCTTTGCTGTTCTCTGTATGCTGTTACTGCCCGGGGCTGCTGCTTTGATTTGGTCTGCTTTCTGAAAGCCATCCCTCCCTTCCCTGCTCTTGGCCCTCTGTGAAGTTGTTCTACAAGGACTCGTCTCCAAAACGCGTTTCAGTCCTTCGGAAGCATTAGATGATGTCCCACCGGGGCCTGGGCTGCCACTTCAAGCATTTCTGTTGATWGCGAGCACATGGGTGCTGAGGTGCCGAGGCATCCCAGGGAACAGGAAGGACTAATCCTAGCAAGTTTTCCCTAGGACAAGTCCAT